CAAAACCCCCCCAAAAGAGCCTCAAATCCCCCACCCCAAACCCCCGAGGACCCCAAACCCCCCAGACCCCGCTCTCACCTCTCCCGTAGCCGCGGCCCCGGCCCCGGTTGCCCCCGTAGCCCCCCCGGGCTCCTCGGGGCGATTTCCCGGCGTGATCCACCCGGATCTGCCGCCCGTCCAGGCACTGCCGGGGGGTGGGGGCGTTTTTGGGGTCCCCTCGGGTGTTTTTGGGGTCCCCTCAGGGCTTTTGGGGTCACCCCAGACCCCTCTGGCAGCCCCCAGCCCTCCCCCAATCCTGGCTTCTTCCCCCAGACCCAAATGCAGCTCCTGGAGACCCCTGGGGACCCCAAATGTTCCCCCAGGGATCCCAAAATCCCCCCAGATCCCCCCAAAACCCCCCTGGGGACCCCAAACTCCCACCAAAGACCCCGAAAGTCCCCTCAGATCCCCCCAAACCACCCCAAACACCCCCTCAAAAACCCCAAACTCCCCCCTGGGGACCCCCAAGCCCCTCCCCGAGGCCCCCCAGCCCCCACCTCGCCGTTCATGGCCTGCATGGCGTCGCTGGCGTGCTCGGGGTTGGTGAAGGTGACGAAACCGAAACCTCGGGACCTTTGGGTCTCCCTGTCCTTCACCACCACCACTAAAAACGGAATTTCGGGGCTCAGGAAGGGCTGGGGACCCCCAAAAATCCCCTCAGAGGGGGTGGGGAGGCTCAGGAACCCCCCAAAAACGGGGTTTGGAACAAAGGAAAACCCCCAGGAGTTCAATTAATGCTAAAAATCGACGTTTCCGGAGTGGGATTTGGGGATTTTTTTAGGGGTTTTTGGGGAGAAACAATTTCAGGAAGGAATTTGGGGTGTCCCAGGCCGGGATTTGGGGATTCCAGAGGTTTCTGGGGAGTTCCCAAAGGATTTAAAGGGAAGAAATACTCAGAAAAGAATTTGGGGATTCCTCAGAAGAATTTTTGGGTGTTCCAGGGTGGATTTTGGGTATCCCAAAGGATTTTTGGGTGTCTCAGGGGGATATTTCAATGCCCTGGGAAGGATTTTGGGTCTCCCAGAGAAGTTTTTGGGTTTCCAGGATAAATTCTGGATACCCTGGGAAGGATTTTGAGTATCCCAGGAGGGTCTTTGAACACCCCAAAGGACTTTTGGGTGCCCCAGGAAGGTTTTTGGGTGTCCCAGGGGGGATTTTGGGCGCCCCAAGGGATCTTTGGGTGCCCCAGATTAGATTTTGGGGGTCTCAGGGAGGTTTTTGAGCGTCCCAACAGCATTTTTGGGTGTCCCAAGGAGGTTTTTGGGTGCCCCGGGTGGATTTTGGGCACCCCAAGGGATTTTTAGGTGCCCTAGATTGGATTTTGGGTGTCCCAGGGAGGATTTTGGGTGCCCAGGGAACTTTTTGGGTGCCCCAAATTGAATTCTGAGTGTCCCAGGAGCGTTTTTGGGGTGATTTTGGGCGGATTTGGGGCTCTCACCCTCGGAGATGGGCCCGAAGGAGCTGAAGTGCTGCTCCAGGCCCTGCTCGTCCGTGTCGTAGTTGAGACCCCCCACGAACAACTTCCCCTCCTCCGCCGCCATGCGTGGGGGGGCGGGGGCGGCCGTGACGTCATAAGGCGGGGCCCTGCCCCTGCGGTGACGTAATAACCTGGGGACGGAACGCTCGTGACGTCAAAACCCCCTGCAGCAAGGAAAACCGCCGTGATGTCACACTCCTGCTGACATCAGAACCCCCAAAACCCTTTCTCCGCTCTCTGTGACGTCACCAACGGCCCGCGCGGCCTCCAGCGACGTCACAGCCCCCCCCCCCCCCCCCCCCCCCAACCCGGGGATCCCCGTTCTTACACGACCCCCAACGTGACGCCATCACCCCTCGGCAGCTCCGCGCGTCCCCTCCTGCTGACGTCACGCAGCCCCTCCCGGCGCCCCCCCGTGACGTCACTCCGAGCCCCACGCGGTTTCTCCCCCTCCCCCCACCCAGCCCCGGCCACGTGGGCGCCCCCGGAAGTGCCGCTCCCGCCTCCCGCGCGCGCATGCGCAGAACCCCGCGCGGCCCTCAGGGCGCCGAGGCGGGAAAAGGACGGGAAAGGGAGAAAGAGGAAGGGAAAAGAACGGCCCGGCCTCACCGAAACGCGCGATTATCGCGACAGAAAGGAGGGGGAAAGAGAACAGAGCGGGGAGAATCGCGATAGGAGCGAGCGGGACTCACCCGAGCGGCGCCGACCGGGCCCGAACTGCGGCCGCGCCCGCCCCGCCCCGGCGTCTTTAAGCAGCTCCGCCCCCTCACGTGACCGCCCGCGCCGCCGCGCCATTGGCCGCGGCCTCAGGCCCCGCCCCCCAGCGCGCGTGGAAGAGTCCATTGGGGCGGGGGGGAGGGGGAGGAGAGCGCGTGGAATGGCGGGAACGCCGGGGGAGGGCGGGGGTTGGGTTTTGGGGGGTCCCGGGGGGGATTTTGGGGGTTCCCGGGGGGGATTTTGGGGGGTCCCGGGCGCAGGGGGGGGGAGGGGTCACACACTCTCACGCCGCTCTCGGGGAGGTTTTAATGGTCCGGTCCCGTGACAGCCGAAACGCCGCGACCCCGCCCCTTTCCCCTCCCCCGTGACGTCATAAGGCGGGGGTTTGGGGGCGTCACCCCCTCCCCTCCCCCCCCTCTATAGGCTCCGTGCCCCTCCCCCACCCCCCACCCCCCCTCAGTGGGGTCAAGGGGTTCCCCCCGCCCATCCCCCACCCCCCCGGGGCGCTGTGGGGTGGGGGAGGGGCCGCGGGGACCCCTCCCCCTGCATATAAAAGCCCCGCCCCCCCCGTGGTGGGGGAGGGGAGGGGCGGGGGGGGGGGGG